GGTCGCAGGCCCGCCTACCTTGCAGGAGTGATTGGAAGCTCTGTCCCGCCGCGGGCCACTGGGCCTTTTCTGTCGGTGGTCACAGTTCCCCTACCTGGCAGGCGTGGGGGGTGTGGGGCGGCTCTGCCCCTCAGCAGGCCGCTGGGCCTGCTCTGTGCATGGTCACAGTTCCCTCTACTTTGCCGGCGCAGGGGGAGGGGGCGGCTCAATGCATCTTAATTAAGCTTCTTCAGAGACCCTCACCATAATTGCTCTTATTAACAGAACATCAATAAAGATTTCTGCAAAAGAGCTCAGTGTAGTTAGAACTTTCTATTTCCTGTTCCTCTGTCTTGCAAAAGCTAAGTTTAACTGCGGACTTGATGATGTTATTCCTGCTTTTGTGGTAAAATGTGTAAACCTCTGACTGTTCTAAAAAACAAGACAAAAAGCACTTTCTGAGAACTCAAAGGAAAAAAATTACTTTTATGTAGAATCCAGCAAAAATGTGAACCTCCAATCCCACACCCACCTCTGGGTGTAAAGTTCAAAGAATTTCTAGGCTCCTGGTCTGGAGAGTGTTAGGCAATAGCCCTCTGGACCCTGCAGCCAATAAATCTGCTTCCTGCTAATTCCTCAGGTGCCAGCCTCAGCTGACCTACATCAGTATCTCACCTGAACTTCCCGCAAATTAGCACAGTCAGATTCACTTCATGATTATGGCAAGACCACTTCATAAGGTTGATTGTTTCTCTTTATTTACCAATTTTGAAAATAATGAACTGTTTTCTTTGCATTGTCCACACGTGAAAAATGAAGTTTTATCTTTTGGGTTAGGAGATATGTATTATAGTGAACTCAAGGTTTAAAAAGAATCATATGCTTTGTAATTCCTCTTTTAAAAGTATATATAATTTTTTACTTTTATGTTTTTACCAGGGCATTATAGTCACACATAATAGTGTGGTTCATTTTGACATCCATGTTTGCATGTAACATAATTTGCTCCACTTCAATATGTCTCCCTTTCCTCTTCCTCCCTCCCTGGTCTCCTTCCTCTACTGGTCTTCCCTCTAGTTATCTATTTTTTATTGGTGCATTAAAATTATACATAAAAATGGAATTCATTGTGATACATTCATATGTGCACATAATTTGGTTAATTTCATTCTGAAGTTCCTTCCCTTTTCCATCCTTCCTCCCTCTCCATCAATCCCCATCCTTTTCTCCGCTGTTCACCCTTCTGTTTTCATGCGGTCCCCCTTTTTTATTCCTTTTTTCTCTCTAGCTTCCACAAATGAGAGAAAACATTCAACTTTTGACTTTCTGAATCTGATTTATTTCACTTAGCGTGATGTTTTCCAGTTCTGTCTATTTACTAGTAAATAACATAATTGCCTTCTTCTTTATGGCTGAGTAAAATTCAATTATGTAGATATACCACATTTTCTTTATACATTTGTCTGTTAATAGGCTTCTAGGCATAACTTGGCTATTGTGAATTGTAATTATTATTCTTATTAAGTTTCAAATACTTCCCCTCTGCAGCCAGTGAGCACCTCTTCATGGTAGCTCTTGAGTCTTTGTGACACTACCTTAGTCTGTCTTTCTGGTGTAAGAAGATCTTACAGATTTCACTATGAGCATTTCTTTATCCAGACATGACATTAGATTTTTTTTCTAAAAGGTTCTATTTAGGATGGGTCAAGGAGAATGGTTTTTAAATACCACAATCTAAGTCATGGTCATATTCATTGCTACTGGGTTGGTTTTTTAAGACTACTTAAAGAGAAATTGTGTGGTTCTTATTTTTCTTTAAAAAAAAAAAAAAGAGGGATATGACTCAAGTAGTAGCGCGCTTGCCTAGCATGCGTGAGGCACTGGGTTCGATCCTCAGCACCACATAAAAATAAAATAAAGATATTATGTCCACCTAAAGCTAAAAAATAAATATTTAAAAAAAGAGAGAATTCTATGTGCTTGTGTGTTTGATCCACTTCTTCCCTCAATAGATTAATGACCACATACTCTATATGCTATTCTCTGCATGGCTCCCCCTCCCCATATAATATATATTGAAGATCACTTCAGAAGGAATGTATAGAAATTTCCTCATTCCTTTTTACAGATGCCTAGTGTTTCATCATGTGGGTGTATCATAGCTTATTCTTCACATCCCCAGTTGATAGACATTTTGGTTTGTTAGAATCTTTTCCTATTATTATTACAATCATTTAATGAATTGCTTCATGTGTCTTTCTTTCTTTCTTTTTGCTATAATATCTTTGTAATAGACCTCTAGAAAAGTGATTTCAGGTTCAGAAGGTAAATGGTAATTTTGTTAGAAATTGACAAATTCCTCTCTGTAGGTTAGTACTATTTTACAAGCCCAACAGCAGAGTATGCATATGCCTGTTGGCCCACATCCTTACCTATCTTTGTGGTCTTTTTCTTTGCAAATCTGATAGATGAGACATGCTACATAATTATAGTTTTAGTTTGAATTTCTCTTGTGACTAATATTGAGCATATCTCCTCTTCATGTGCTTAATGTAATTTTTCTATTTTTTACCTATAAAGTTACTCAAGCACTCTCTATATTAATTCTCTCCTACCTTTTGGATTTTAAGTCATATGGAGGTTTTTCCTACTCTCAGGTTATAGAAAAGTTGCCCATTTTTTCTTCTAGAACTTATGTTATTTCTTTTTTCAGGTGAATCTCTGATCCATTTGGAATTTATCCTGGTATATAGAGTGAGAAAGGGCTTCAGTTTTATCTTTTTCATATGTTTAGTTATCTTGAAACCATTTACTGAAAAGTCCATCTTTTCCCTACTAATTTAAGATGTAACATTCACTGTGTACTAAATTGCCATGTGCAGCTTTTAGGTGGTTTATTGAAACTATTCTGACGATCACAGGTCAGGATGAAAAGGTAAAATTTGGTAGGTAAGAGAATTATACTGATTTCTAAACCTTGAAAAATAGTTTCTTAGAGGACTTTTGATATGTAAGATTTATCTGAAATTTGTCTGTAAAAGTGTATCATGCATTTGTAACATACGTTTTCAGTAAATTCATTCTCTCCCTTTTTCCCCCTAGCACCATGTATGTGTTTGGTGGTTTCAACAGTCTCCTCCTCAGTGACATCCTGGTACTCACCTCGGAACAATGTGAAGCACATCAGAGTGAAGCTGCTTGTGTGGCAGCAGGACCCGGTGTCCGCTGTGTGTGGGACACAGGGTGGTCTCAGTGCATCTCCTGGGAGCTGGCAACTGAAGAACAAGCAGAAAAGTTAAAATCAGAATGTTTTCCCCAAACAAGTGAGTTTTTCCTCTACTTAGAATTTAATTAGAAATCTCATTTGATCAGAATTATGAAGACACTTAGCATTTGTACACTTCTTATGTTCACCTTATTATCTATACTGGTTTAGTAATAACTTGTGCAAAGCCTTTCTGGGTGTTTGAATATTGGTTTGTAAACATCTTTACATATGTCATGTAGCTCCTAGAAGCTGTCTGTGAATGATAGGGACACAACCTTCTTGGCATGCCATAGACTTTATCCACCAGCTCCAAGACCTGACTGTAGTTGGTCCAAGGCAGTGCTATCCAATGGAACTTGTTTTGATAATGGAAATATTGCATACGTGCCCTGTTCTAGTCTGGTAGCTACTTAGCCACATGGGAATCTCAGACACTGGAAAGGTGGCTACTGTGCCTGAGGAGCTGAATTTTTATTTAACTCCTGGCTACCATATTGGATTGTGGAGGTCTGACATTAAGGATGAGAATAGGAAGGCCAACCTAGAAAAGCCTATTGTAGATAGAGGAGTTGCCATCCTCACCAACTATTTTCTAGCTCTTTTAATTGGATACAGCAGTGAGAACAAGACAGAGAGTTGCTGAGGATGAACAATGATCCCCACTTCTAGAAGCTCTCCTCATGTTTTCTAAGCTGTTTTCTTCACCTTGTCTGCTTAGCTTCTTGCCCTTTTGTTCTGACATATAGCACAGAACAGCAGTGAAGAAATGTGTGAGAAAGTCCTTTCTAAATAAGAAGGATGTCTCTGCAAAATATTTGTTCACATCAGTTAATATGTTGACTGAATTCCATGGCTAGCAGGATGGGTGTTGCCATTATTGTGACCATTAAGATGGAGAGAGGCAGCTTGTATTCTCCTGGGATGCTCCAAATTAATCTTGCAGCAACATAAATCCTTAGTAAGAACACCCAGGCAACCAAGTTCATTGATGGAGAACAGAATTACCAGAACACTGTGGGATTAGTCATTTTCTCCTAAAAAGGATAAAATCAGTGCAACAGTTATTTTTAACCAAATTTTTAAATGTTCAAATTAAATGTGGGCAAGTGTACATGGGAAATAATGTTGAATTATCTTAGATGATTCAGTATGAGCCCATTTCCTGTCATCTCATGTGCAGTATCAACTCCCTGTTTCACTCCACTCTGTGCAGAGGTGGTCGTAATCCTTTGATGATGACAAGAGAAGGAAGAGCAACCTAAGGGGTATACTGCTGGGGCCTTTAAGAGGGTGGGCCACGGACCCTCCCATTTACTCTTTTTATTTTACATATTTTTTTAGTTGTAGATGGACACAATACCTTTATTTATTTACTTATTTATATTTTTTATGTGGTGCTGAGGATCGAACCCAGTGCCTCACACATGCTAGGCAAGTGCTCTACCACTGAGCCACCACCCCAATGCCCCTCCATTTACACTTTCTGGGTTTCACCATGTGCGGTGTCTAAGAGGTGGTTCAGCAGATGAGGCAGCATGGTGGTGCAGCTTCTCTTTTCTGGGGTCAACAGGAAGTGCACCAGGTCTGCAGTCACCCCAGCGTTCTGCAGCTTGCATTGTGGAAATCAATGCAGCATGACTCAGTTCACACTTGCCTTGGGGTCCAGGTACTGCCTGCTGCCTGTGCTCAAAATGAGGTTTGGTGTTTGTAACTGGAGGGATGGATTGGTCTCCTTTGTAATTTTTTTTTTTGGCTCCTGGGCAGTTTCTGGTGTTTATTCTATTCTAGTTGGTTTTTCTTAGGAAAAAAATATTCAAATGCCCAGATCTTATTTCCATTCTTAGACTTGTTAAATGAACTTATTTTTGCTTTTTACTTCCTGTTTAATCTTTTTAAGTGAAAAACAGTGTTTCTTCAGATTGTCTCAAGTCTTATTTATTTGTTTTTGTTTGTTTGTTTTGGGGAGTTACTAAGGATTGAATTCAGGGGCACTTGACCACTGAGCTACATCCCCAGCCCTATTTTGTATTTTATTTAGAGATAGGGTCTCACCAAGTTGCCTAGTGCCTCGCTTTTGCTGAGGCTGGCTTTGAAATCTTGATCCTCCTGTCTCAGCCTCCCAAGACTCTGGGATTACAGGCATATGCCACTGTGCCTGGCTCTAAATCCTATTTAACCAGAACATCCTAATACATTTTCTTTCCAGTTTCAGATTTTATTTTCTTTCCCAGACATTGTTAGGGTTTTTTTTTTAACCCATTTCAGATTGTGCTTAGTAGAAGCTGTCACAGTTGATGTTTCTTCTCTTCCTAGCCCTTGACCATGACAGATGTGACCAGCACATGGATTGTTACAGCTGCACGGCCAACACCAATGACTGCCACTGGTGCAATGACCATTGTGTCCCTATTCATCTCAGCTGCATGGAAGACCAGGTCAGGGGTCATCTCTCAAGGATTTCAGAGGATAAAAATATTCTAATTGTGTTTAGGTGTAGGTTGAATATATGGCATATATAATGGCCCATATTGGTTTGTTTTCAATATTTTTTCTTTTATTAATACATTATAATTATACATAATAGTTGGGCTGGATTTTTTTTTAATGAGATGTAGATTTGGATTTTTGTTTTAGATCAGGTTTTCTATTAGGAAAAGATGCTGAATACATCCTGATTCAAGGGTCTCGCTAGCCCCGGGAATTTGTGTGTGGTGATTTAAAAGAAGGTAGGACTGTGGTCTGGGGACTATGTCCCTGGGTGTAGCTATGTTGAAGTACCCGATCCTTAGTCTGAGGCTTGTGACAACGAGCTCACTCAATCTGTGTGAGTTCTTGGGAGAAGGTTTGGGCTTCAGGCAGGTGTGTCGTGGTCCATATTGAATTGGGGAATGGATAGGCTTTGCAAATTCTCCTTTATTTATGTTATATCTTGGCTCAGCATAATTTCGGTGCTCCCCGTAAATGGTTTTAAAAATTTAGGTTACACTAAGACCAAAGAAGATAAGATGACCCAGCCTTTATACTTTTGTCAGTTTATTGCTGTTTATAAGCAAACTTTAGACTGTAGGAGGCATTTGAAAAGCAGTGTGTTCCACAGCCCCATTTTACCAATGAGCAATTTGAGGGATGCTGTTTAAAAGAGTAGGCTGCTTCCTTGCCAGTTAAAGGCATTTTCTTGAGCAGAACATTCTACTACAGTGTTTCCACCACAGAGCTGTTCATCTGCATTTTATTTATCTCTTTATTTGAAGTTTGCATCCTCAATTAGATTTAGTCTTTACAACTATTGGTCACCACCATGAGTTATCTCTATGAATATGTTCTACTTTGAATATGTTCTACTTTCTAGATTTCCATTTCTACATATGAGAATTGCCCCAAGGATAACCCTAAGTACAGTTGTGTCAAGAAGACCAGCTGTAGGAGCTGTGACCTGGACCAGAAGTGCCAGTGGGATCCCCAGAATCAAGAGTGCATCTCCCTGCCTGGTAAGCCTTGCTAGGCACCTGGGGAATGGGTCCAGAACTTTGTCTGCTCCCTGAATCTTACGCAGACTGGGTTGTAACCTAACAGCGAGGAGGGGCCTATTCTATCAATTCATCCCTATCACCAGTGTTTTGTTTTGTTTTGTTTTTTAAAGAGAGAGAGAGAATTTTTAATATTTAATTTTTAGTTTTCGGTGGACACAACATCTTTGTTTGTATGTGGTGCTGAGGATAGAACCCGGGCTGCACGCATGCCAGGCGAGCGCGCTACGCTTGAGCCACATCCCCAGCCCAAATGTTTTGTTTTTGTTTTTTAAACTAAAATTCAAGTCTTAAGTATACACTCTGACTGTTCTTGACATAAAGTCTAGCATCATCTGCTCCTCTGGAGAATGAAATGATTCTGGGTTCATGTCGGTGAACCTGCTCCCTCCCTTGACACCCACCTGGCTGTGATAACCGGGACTAGAATTCTGTAGTCTCAGCTGCCAGATTTCTGGGCACTGTATGGAAGAGTGTTACTGAACATGGGGATTTGGTTGTTGGCATCTCTTGGGGGGCTTCTCTGAGCAGAGGGAGAGGCAGATTTCTGTGTTAGCAGCAACTCTGAGGTGACCGCCAGTCCTGAGTACCTGTTTATGGCATCCTGAGGTTTAAGGTGATGACTTTGGGGTGGCCATCCATGACTGAACCCCTGATATATTTGCTCCAACCAGATGTCCAGGAAGGGGGAGTTTTGTGGCACTGTGTAACAGCTGAGACATAAGCAGGCCACTTGAGCTGGACCAGGGCCCTTTTGAGTGTCCTTTGGAGTAATGCAGTTCAGCTTGCAGAATGGGCTTCTTGTTTGTTTACTCTTGTTCTGAGTCTCAGACATTCATGTATAGCAAAACCCCTGGGGATCTTTCCAAAAGGCATGTTCTGGTACAGGCCTGGGGTGGGGCCCTAGAGTCTTCATTTTAACTTGTACACGATGATATGAAAACAGTGCAGCATTTGAAGACTTTAGATTTATTCATTCCCAAACTCATTTCCATGTTTGCTGTTCTGTACTCCACCTTTCCATTGTCACATTCATCTGTCTGCTCTCCGCTCAGGAGTTAGTCTTTCTAATTGTTCTTCTAAAAGATCTGCCACCAAGTATTGACACTAAATGGGTTTTCCTCCAAGTGACTAGAGAGTTGACTTCAGAATATACTTCATGAGATCCAATAAATAAGACTGACAAACTTATCTCTTGCATTCTGTGTCTGGAAGTGAATAATGTGTCTCTTGCCCTTGCCACATTCTTAATGAAGCACCTAGAATTCAATCTCAAGGATCATTTAGATGTTCAGGAACTTGAACTAGGTATGTAGTAGTTTTGTGTAATTTCTAAAGCTGTTTTTTCTCTCCCCCTTTGTTAAAGAAAATATCTGTGGCGTTGGCTGGCATTTGGTTGGAAACTCGTGTTTGAAAATTACTACTGCCAAGGGGAATTATGACAATGCTAAACTGTACTGTAGGAACCACAATGCCTTTTTGGCTTCCCTTACAACCCAGAAGAAAGTGGAATTTGTCCTTAAGCAGCTGCAAATAATGCAGCCATCACAGAGCATGGTGAGTGAATCCTCAGAACCTAAGTGTCTCGTACCCACTTTTCTGCTAAGGGCATGCCCACAGCTGGTGCATGGAAGGCTGTGGGTGAGGACGTGCTGGGAAGAGGAGGAAGGCCAGGATGCGTGGCGTAGTAGATGTGGCATTAAAGGAAGGTCAATCTCTTCCTTTAATGGTTTTTACCTGACCTTGAAACTTTTAATACTTCATACATTTTCATAAGTCATATTTATTATAACATGAAAAGTAATATGTAAGATGAACAGTGATGTGTGTGTGTTTGTGCACATAGTCTGGTGACATCACTAGATAATTCCATACCTATTTTATCTCTAGATTCTGCTGGAGTAGAGAGCAATGGGATCACAGCTAATTAGGTGTCATATTTAAACACTTATGTCCTTTAGATTTAAGGTATTATTTTAGTATATGTTGTCACCACCACTAAGACATTTATATCTGTTTGGGTCTTTCTAGACCTGGCAGCCCAACAAAAGAGGGCATCTTCTTATGAAGGGTTTCTGAGCTCAGAAAGGCTCACGTTTTCTTCACTGGTAGAGTCAGCTCTGCCCATCATGCTGGGATTTCAACCGGTGACTGTCAAGTCCACCTCTGCGGGAGACTACGTGGGTAAAAAGGCTCCACTATGCCAGCTGGCCACAGATGTACCTCTGTTCCCTCTCTCCTCTTCTTCAAGTGTTTTATCCCTAACAGGTTCTGGGTGGCACTTTTCAAAAACAGAACCCCACACTCTTATGAAAAGGCTAACAGATAAAAGAACTAGTGTAATGTGCTCCCCATAGGTTAAACTCCAGATGTGGCCCAGTCTGTAGAGCCCAGTTGTGTATGAAAAAAGCAAGATAGGGTAGAGGCTGTCTGGTAGAGCTGGGAAGAGGTAACTCTGAAGGTGGGAAGGAATGGATGGAAAGGGAAGAAGGACGGGCTCCCTGTGCGCTGGTACCCTCCCATACAAGGCATAGAGTTTGAGGGAATCGCTCACTGAGTGAGCTGCAGATTAGCTTGTGTGGCTGGGGCAGGTTGGATGGGAGAAAGATGCTGTAGCTGGGCTTCAAGAAGGGCCCACAGCCAAATCCAGAGATACCTTGTCCACAATGCTAATGGCCCTGCATTTTATCAGGAAAGCAAAAAGACATTATGAAAAGACTTATAAAGTGTATCTGTTAAAATTATGTTTCTTTTTTAAAAACACACATTTAAAAGAAATTTAGAAAATGCTAATAAAAGAGTAAGAAAACAAATAATGTTTGTTAATACCACTAAAAACTCTTTTGGAATGTATTTATTTATTTCAGGTCTTTTAATAGTATATGTATTTTTCCTCTCAAAAATTAAAATACATTGTATATTTTGTTTTTCAACTGCAAAAATTAAGAATACCTTTCATTTCTGGGTTCAAAATTATACTTAATTAAAAAAAAAATTTTAAAGCACAATGGCAAGGAAATTTTAGGAGAATAGGAGACAAAAACCATCCTAGGTGTTCACTGCTCTTTTATTCTTTATAAAATCCTGTACCAAATGAAGCAATAGATTTAAAAAGGCAGTAAACACTGTCTGATCTGGGGATAGACAGAGGATTATGATTCATCCTTTCAAAAGAAGGAAATACTGTCATTAGCAACCACACAGATGGATGTGGAGGATCTTACACTGAGCGAAATAAGCTGGTCCCAGAGAGATAAATACAACATGACCCTGCTTATATGTAGAATCGAAAAATGTCTAATTCACAGAAGCAAAGAGCACAATGGTGGTTTCCAGGCCTTGAGAAGTGGGGTGAGAAATGGGAACATGGTGATCAAAATGTCCAAAGCCTTTTTTTACATAAGATGAATAAGTTCTAGAGATCTAATATATGCTATAGTGATAATAGTTAAGTATCATATACTTAATATTTGTTCAGGACATAGATGTTACATGTTCTCACTACATACACATACATATGGTCCTGCAATAGTAAATATGAGAGGTGATGGATATCAGTTAGTTGATAGTGGCAACCATCACACAATGCTTAGCTTCTGATCTGAGGATAGACATATAACCAATATTTTATAAATGTTGGGGAAATGACTTCATGTGTGAATGGGCATTTAAACCCAGTGTGGGGTGATGACCATTTCTTCATAGCATTTATCACAGAGCTTAGAAATTTTGGAACTTGATTATCACTTTGGATGTAGATCTCTATGAAAATTTTGATACCTCTTTTCTCTAAGCTTTATATTTGTCCTTTGTAAAATGGCCCATATTAGAAGTGGTGATCTATACCAATGCCTGAGTTTAGGGTATAAGGAGGCTTTCCTGTACCTGTGGGTGTACCTAACTTAGTGGGTTTTATCAAGTAGCCTGTTTGGTCGAGACATTGGTTGTTTTCATAATTGTGTCTGTTTTGCCCACAGTCCAAGCTCACCTTAACCCCATGGGTTGGCCTTCGGAAGAGCAACATGACCCACTGGTTCTGGGAAGATATGACTCCATTTACAAATAGTTTACTACAGTGGATGCCATCTGAGCCCAGCGATGCTGGGTTCTGTGCAATCTTGTCAGAACCCACTGTTCGGGGATTAAAGGCTGCAACCTGCATCAACCCCCTCAATGGCAGCATCTGTGAACGGCCTGGTAAGGACACTGGTGATAGGCTCCAGGAAGTTTCAGAAAGGAGGCAGGTTAAGTATTGACATGCATAAAATGATCTTGAAAACAGATGGAGAGCTAATTTCAGGCATATTTCAAGCAATACCTAGAATTTTAAAAGCAGAAGGAAATAGTCTGTGGCTCTACGTTGAGCCATAAGCAAAGCCAAAAATAAAATGTTACACAAAGAACCTAATATTCTGACTAGCATTGTGATTGATTGGTTTGTTGAGCACAAAGAATGTTTAGAATTTCTCTGAAGGGCAAATATCTTGGTGGCAGAAAAATGCTGTGGAAGGAAAATAAAAACCAAAGATGAGAAAAACAAGCAAGTCACCATAAGACAGTATTCAGGAAGCTAGTGTCAGTGAGGAGGAAAATGAGGAGAGGTCTGTGACAGGAGACAGAAGCCAGTTAGAACCATGTAAGAGCTGTGGCTGAGTACTGAACCATCAAATGTTTTGAGCAGTTTCTCAGTTTGCATGTTTCTGGGGGCTAAGTTTAGGTTCCATGGTGGCAGATACAGGGGCAGCCTCTGTAGCACACAGATGGGGGCTTAACAGTAATAGGTAGAGTTGTTGGTGATTTAGTTAAAATCCTGTTCAGTTTTTGGAAGGTACTGTATTTGAGGAATGCAGAAGTATAGAAGATAATTCATAGCATTGTAGAAGTTATCTTAAAACAAGGTTTCTAAATTGTAGGTGAGCTTTTCAGCCTTTTTGAATGCAGAATGCTTTGATGAATTTAATGAATGCTGTGATCCTACTTACACTCAAATTCATAAACATAGGGTTTTACATGTTCAGGTGGATTGTAAAATTCCTTCAGGGTCCCCTTATGTAAGACTCTGCTTTTGTTGAAAGATTCTCTTGTTCTTTCACCTTTGTCCTCAATGCTCTCTGAATAGAAGGTCCATTTCCTCCCCGAGTGTGTTAATACCTTGACTAAGTAGTACATGATGGCTCCAATATGATCTGTTTTCACTGTGTCATGTAGTGCCTGAATTGAGTTCATGGCACACTGTTGGGCTACAAACCAATATTTGAAATGGCTCTGACCTTAGCTGACATAATGGGAGGTCTTAAATGTCCCTCTTGGGTTTAATTCCCAGCAAACCACAGTGCCAAGCAATGCCGGACGCCGTGTGCCTTGCGGACTGCGTGTGGGGAGTGCACCAGCAGCAGCTCTGAGTGCATGTGGTGCAGCAACATGAAGCAGTGTGTGGACTCCAACGCCTACGTGGCCTCCTTCCCTTTCGGCCAGTGTATGGAGTGGTATACCATGAACAGCTGCCCCCGTGAGTGCAAAAGGGAGTTCTGGCACTCTTGAGTGCCTGGCATTGGTGACAATTGTGTTGACAACTGTGGCATGGGGCAGTGTTCATAATCTTTGAACATTTTATGGGCTAGTTGGATTTGACCTTCTACTCAAGTCATCTAGTCCTGCATGATGAGAACCTGCATACAGAATTGAACAGTGATACATGTAAATAAATCAAGTAAATCTAGGATAGATCACAGAATACAGAAATTAACTCTTCAACTTCACAGTTATATTATTCAATCTGTGTAATGTCTCTGCCTCCTACTTTCCTAATTTATAAAATAATTGCTCTCTGGTAGAGGCCCTCTGAGGTTCCTTTTGCTTCCACCATCCTGGGATTAAGAGAGGAAAGAGGGACCCCTCTGATGTGTTGGGCAAATTATTGAGCTCTTCAAATTCATTATCTCACTTAAAATGGTCACTCTAGAGTAGTAATTTGGATTTAAGTTAGTCTGTTAAAAAAAAGGTTATTTAAAGATAATAACTTTAGTTCTACCTGATAGTGAATTGTTTACTGTTTGTTTTTTTAATAGCTGAAGATTGTTCAGGTTATTATACCTGTAGTCATTGCTTGGAGCAGCCAGGCTGTGGCTGGTGTACTGATCCCAGCAACACTGGGAAAGGGAAATGCATGGAGGGATCCTACAAAGGACCAGTGAAGATGCCTCCACAGGCCTCTGCTGGAACTGCCTATCCACAGCCCCTTCTGAATTCCAGCATGTGTCTAGAGGACAGCAGATACAACTGGTCTTTCATTCACTGTCCAGGTAAGATGCCTGCATATCCAAATTCAAGTTATTCATTACCTGTTTACAAAGAATACAAACTTGAAAGCTACACCATTCATATAAATTTCCTTTAAGTAAAAAATATCAGTAGCATCATTTTAGGAGAAAAGAGTTTCATTTAAAAAATATTTTTAAAATATTTTTTTTTAGTTGTAGTTGGACACAATACTTTTATTTTATTTATTTATTTTTATGTGATGCTGAGGATCGAACCCAGCGCCTTGCGTGTGCTAGGTGAATGCTCTACCGCTAAGCCACAACCCCAGCCCTAAAAAATATTTTTAATGTGAACAAAAATATTGAGAACTTCACATGAGTTATTTTACAAACTTTTCTCATAAGATAATATATTCTTTATAAAAATGTTACAGATATATATGAAATAAAAACTAGAGTTTCTCCTTTTCTCTCCAATTCTTCATAAACAACTTAATGTAGATATTTCCAGACATATTATTTTATATATTTTAAATTAAAGAATACTGTGCTCTAAGTAGGTACATCATATATATTGCTCTGCAATTTGTGTTTTACTTAAAAACACATCATGGTAATTGTTGGAAAAAAATTAAAAATGAAATCTCCTGCCAATCCAGAAATTTATCTTCACAAATAAAAAACTGTTTTCTTTTTAAATAAGCATTAAGCCATACTATTACACATCACAGGCACTCTACTAGTGAGATGAAAATATGGAGGGAAATTTTAAAATGACAAAGCATATGTAAGCAATTATATACATGACCTCAAAACAAACAATAACTTGTCGTCATGAACTTTAATTCTTCCTGTAGCTATGATTCCTGCACCATTTTTTAAAAGACTGTTTTGTTTTTACCATTGAATTTTCTTGGCACGTTTGTGGAAAATTAGTTTACTGTGAACAAAACAATTTGATAAAATCCCGTGCTCCTTCATGATAAAAACCCCGAATAAACTAAATATAGAAGGATTATACTTCAATATAATAAAGGTTTATAAGACATACCCATTGCCAACATCAAAATGAGTGGGGAAAAACTTCTCTAAAATCAGAAATGAGACAAGGGTGTCTACTCTTACCACTTTTATTCAATATGGTACTGGAAACTAGCCAGAACAATCAGATAAGAGAAAGAAAAGGAATACCAGTAGGAAAGAAGGAAGTCACATTATCCCTGTTTGCAGATGATGTGATTCTATATCTAGAAAACCCTAACAAATCTGTCAGAAGTCTCTTAGAACTGATTAATTCAGTAAAGTAACAGGATACAAAATCAAGGTACATAAATTGGTAGCTTTCCTATACACCAACACGGAACTTAGTGAGAAAGAAATTAGGAAAAAATGTCACTCACATAGTCTCAAACAACAACAACAACACAATACCTAGGAATAAACCTAACTAAGGAGGTAAAAGATCTCTACCATGAAAATTATAAAACATAGAAAAAAGAAATTAAAGAAAACCCCAGAAGATGGAAAGTCATTGTTGGAGGCCACGATCAAGTCAAGATGGCGCCTGGCAGTTTGCCAGGAGGAGTGGTTTGTGAGGCAATGCCACCGAGCCATCAAGATGGTGGGGAGTCCTTATTGGCTGATTGCTGTGTCTGTAGGGGAGCAATGCTATGATTGGATGATGCTGATTGAGTCATGCTTTATGTAAATCAGTTAGATATATATACCTCAGCTGTTCCGCAATAAAGCAGTTCCCACTTCAACCTTCAAGTTGCTTGTCACCTCTCGGTTATTTTGCCCAGCTGGACTGCGGCAAGTGGTGGCCCATACGGGGAACTCCGGGACTCTCGGGGGTAAGTGACAAGGTAAGCTGCCTGTCCCTAGAAATAGATAGGACGGGAGGAAAGCTGCTAGCCCCTGAGGAGCAGATAGGGCGAGAGGATGGATGGCCTTTTCAAGAAAATAGAAAAATTGATACAGTGTGTTTTTGGTTTTTTTTTGTTTCGTTTTTGTTTCATTTTATCTTAGTGTGTTGTCTTTGTTACGGAAATATGGGATCAGAAGTTACTAAAATTCAAACCGAAAGGGTGTTAAGTAAATTGCTAAAGGAAGGAGGCACCCCAGTAAAACCAAGAACAGTTAGGGCATACGTTGATAAAAGCCCAGGAACTCTAGTCAGAAAGAGGAAGAAAGTTCAGAAAAGGAAGGACTATCAGGGAAGGAGTTACAACAAAAGGCTGCTACTAACCCCTTTTTGTCACCAGAGGGTGCGTGAAGCAGCGTGGTGCAGCGGCCGCCGCGTTCGTGAGCTGGTCGCGGCGCAGCAGGGACTTTCCAGCCGGCGGCAGCTGTGGCCACTGGCCCTTCCCCGCCCCCCCCCCGCCATGGGGCTGCCTGGGGACCAGGATGCTGTGGCCAGTAGTGGAGGATGCGCCTGGCGCCCCTGAAGTTTGGCCATTTCCAATGCCAATAACTAATGAATCATCAGTTTTCCCTATAATACTACAAATGCTACCACAGGACTCCCTGCTATTCCTGTGGATACAAATGTTCAGAAAGGTCAAACTCCGCCCAAGATGCCCTGCCCCCAGTGTAAAAAGGGATTTCATTTGGCAAAAGGATTATAAGTCCAAATTTGATATTGAGGGGAAACAACCGGGGGGGGGGGGAACAACCCGCCATTCTCAAGCCTTCTGAGCTTTATAAATGCAGGGTTAGCAATATCTCAAATCCATAACAGCTGTTATCCAGAACTCCAGTTTAGCTATCCTTACATCTGCAACAATGGTTCTCCCACACCTGGAGGCTAATGAATAATGAGCACCATTGAGGCCTATTTCAAATGTAAAAAACCTGGCCACCGACATGGTCAGGTTGCTTGGAACAAGGTTCCGCCGCCGTTACTTAACTCCTGGATTTACATTTACTCCTAGATTTAATACCTTTTCAAATGAAACATTTAAAGGAAACAATTTTACTTATTAAAATCCTAGTCAAGCCATTACACCAGACCCATTTAATATTTGGTCATTTTGTGGATATCTCACCTGTAGGATTTATAAAAGGAGGATCGATGTTTAATGGGTCTTACAATTATACTAGTACTACGTTTGAGACCAATGTACAAATAAATAAGACTAAATATATAGATTTCAAACCTACTCCTGTTTGTTTACTTTCACCTTTCCTTTTCATTATATCTAATAATTCTGTTCAGGATAATGTACTAAATTGTTCAGAAAATTGTTTTCTTAGTGCCTGCTGGAATGCTACACAATTTTCTTTAGCCATCATTGCCAGAATTCCTGCCTTCATTCCAGTGCCAGTGAAGACAAAAATAGAAGAATTTCCAGTATTACTGAGAACCAAATGAGACTTCGGAATTACAGCTGCCATCATCACAGCTGTTGCTGTTTCTGCTGCTGCTGCTACAGCTTCTGCGATAACTATCACACAAACTGTACAAACGGCTGCATCAATAAATAATGTAACTCAACAAGTAGCACAAGCTTTACAAACACAAAACATTATTAATGATCATCTTAGAAATGGAATTCTGATGCTCGACCAAAGAGTCGATTTACTTCAAGAAGGAATAGACATATTAATGGATTCCTCTGTTTTAAGCTGCTTACGGAACTTGCCTGGACTGTGTGTCACTTCTATGCATTATGATAATATTTCTCGAGCAGCAAATCTTTCCAGACAACTAGGAGGCATGCTTAATGGCACATGGAATGTAAAGTTTCAAAATTTAACTAATCTATTGAGACAACAAATTGTAACTCTTAATAGTACCAGGGTATCTTTGCCAACGGTGTCATCGGTGGTACAATTTTTCCAAGGGTTTCTCTCTTGGAGTCATCAATGGCTTAGTATCGTGGCATTTTGTATTCTCCTCCTTCTGCTTGTGGCAGGTTGTTTATGGTGTTTGTGTAGATTATACAGATCCACAAGTATGGCTAAATATGTTGGGCCGGTAGCCAAAGGTGGGTAAGATCCAATTACAATGGTACCAACCTAAACCAGGAGGCTGACAATTTGAGGTCAGACCATCCAATGATGGGTAAGAACCATATGTAGTATTAGACAACCCAAGATAGGCACGGTCCCTAAACCACATACTTGTTGTTGAATAAAACAAAAAGGGGGAGATGTTGGAGGCCACGACCAAGTCAAGATGGTGCCTGGCAGTTTGCCAGGAGGAGTGGCTTGTGAGGCAATGCCACCGAGCCATCAAGATGGTAGGGACTCCTTATTGGCTGATTGCTGTGTCTGTAGGGGAGCGATGCTATGATTGGATGATGCTGATTGAGTCGTGCTTTATGTAAATCAGATATATATATACCTCAGCTGTTCCGCAATAAAGAAGTTCCCACTTCAACCTTCACAGTTGCTTGTCACCTCTCGGTTATTTTGCCCAGCTGGACTGCTGCAAGTCATCCCATGTTCATGGATTGGGAGAATTAATATTGTTAAAATGGCCATGCTATGGAAAACCATCTACGGATTCAATACAATCCCCATTAAAATGACATTCATTTGATAAAATGGACAAAACAATCATAAAATTCATATGGAAACATAAGACTTAGAACTGCCAGGAGCAAAAGTAACAGTATGGGAGACTTCTGCCACCACGCCACCAGCAGTTCTTAGCTCAGCTCCAGTCCCAAAGCTGGCACTGGCAGCCTAGGCATCTGTGTGCACATTCATTACTTGCTAGACCCCAGAAGCCTCTCCAGGGTTATGAACATGCATGGCGTGAGGCCTGACGACCTGATAAATATGCAGCACTACAATCTCCTCTGCTGGCCCATGCACTACCAGATGAAATACCACTTCTACCAAGGCCTCTCCTGGCCCCAGCTCTCTTACATTGCTGAGGATGAGAATGGAAGATTGTGGGGTATGTTCTGGCCACAATGGAAGAGGACTCAGATGATGTGCTCCATGGACATACCACCTTGCTGGCTGTGAAGCAGTCCCACCAGCGCCTTGGCCTGGCTCTGAGGCTAACACACGAGGCTTCTCAAGCTATG